CTCTCATTCACATTTCCAAATCCAATCACTGGAAAGACATCTGTACATGCCAAGTGTTGTCGGATGACCGATACGGAATGGGTTCGTTGACTCTTTCATGATTTTCCTTATGAGCACATGAGTTCTAAAACTTTTGCTTCCTTAAAATCTCTAACTTCAGGTACATACCGAGTTGGCTTGCGAAGATGGTCCTCGTCAAATCAAAATCCCGAGCGCAGTACAATGTGATTGCTTTGATTGTGCGGTACACTAGGAACTGTGAACAAGCATGGATATCATTGCCCCTTGATGAATTTAATTCAATCCGATGTTCTCATTTCTCAAACTGATCGTCTTTTTAGATAACAATTCAGTAATAGTTCAGTAATTTTGCACATTGTGATGATGTATATGTAGACTGCGTCATTATTCACTGCAATACGGGCCAAATATGTGAGCTTTACCCGACTTTTTTGTCTGATCTCAACTTTTCAAATAAATAAATGTTGAACTAGCAGTGTGCACAATCATTTGATTATAGAATTTAAAGCAAATTTCGACAACCTCTGGCATAATGTAAAAACATGCATTATTTCTGATTCATTATCTTATATTGGCTAGATGAACGTGGAACTTGCAAAGATTCGGTGCTAATAACGGCGAAACCTCAAAGCAGTATTATGACTCCTTCTCAATTGCCATTCGCTGTCATTGGAAGCACTTAGGTGTTCATTTACATATCCTCAGGCTCAAGAACAAATAATGGGGTGATTGGTCGTGCAACGTCATTGTTAGCGGCGAGGTTGAGAATGAAGACGTAAAATATGACTTACAATCTAAAATTCGGTAACAAATTCATTCTGTCCTCAGTAAAGTGAGATATTTTTCAAACTGTAGATCAAGAGTGCTATGATAGGGCTTCTCGAACATGGATTGTAATTCTTTTCAGATATCAAGTGCGATTCAGCAATGTAAACCTAAATCTAACAAATTCAAAGCCGAGGAAGCCTTACCTCGGAGATCTTCACTCCGATTTGTTCCTGTAACGAGGCTCTACCTGAAGGAACGAGACTTTTGGCATTTGTATCTGATGCAAGAGATTTTTTCAACAATGCTTTGGCATCGTTGAGCGTTTTGCGCGACATCTGAAAGTTCAATCGTGGGAAAGCGAAGGTAGAAGAACCCTTCCTTGCGACTAAGAGGGCAGAAGTCTTATTTGTCGTCCGACTGTATTCTGAGACTACATAGTGCACTTTTTTAAGAGCAGCGAAATAGCCCGACATATTTTAAGACAGTGTGTATTGATATGCTCTACATAATGGCATACTCGCTTGCAATAGCTTAGTTGAAAAGGTTTCCCGCTACTTCCGCATATTGTGAGATTCTGTCTGAGTTATGTTTGTAAAAGTTAGCCAAATACCTATTAATGCTGAATATGACCTAACAGTCCGTTACGATTGAGACTGGATTCTTTAACCCCTAAAAACGGAAGTTACACAGTTACGGTGAGACATAGCAATATGTTTGTTTATAGCAATGGTTATGCGTTAAACAATTGCTAAATACCCTAGGAAACAGTTGCAACAAATGGAAAGCGCCATGAAACTGTCCAACAACCTGTTGTTAATAGCTGCTTTGATCCTGATTTTCACCAATCATTGACAGGCGTCCGTGCTTTAAAGAAACTTCTAAGCTTAAGTTTTTAGTGTTTGTAATCATGTTCAAGAACTCTTAAT